TTTTCGACCCCTGTGACGTCATCTTTGACCTGACCTGAAAATGACCTAAGTAAAAATTGTAGACCTTGTCCGTGCGTATCCGATGCCGTTTACCGCTTGTCGCTATCATGCTTCGTTCTCGAGATCTCAGCCCAGCCAGCAATTCGCTTGGGCTAAACTATGGCAAACGTCAGGCAGCTTGGGCTTATCTTGGATTTGCCCACTTTGATCAAAACCAATGCATTTTTTAATTGGGTTGAGCTTGGGCATGCCACAGCTATGCCCGAGTGTGGCCAGCTGCAGCTCAGCCCGACATCCGCCCGCGCATTCAAAGCAGGCTCAACTTGGGCGGAGCTCGGGCTGATCAAGCTGGCTCTCTCCTTTGGCTAACTGGTGTAAAGCCTGAGTTTAGCCATACTTGATCGGCTGTTCGCGCATGCGCATTTCTGCGCCAGTCACGTTTTGCTCGGGCTTACATCAGGCTACCGCCAACCGTCGCACAACTAGGGCTCAACTACGGCTGTCCGGAGCTCGCAGAGCGGGCATACCTCCGGCAGAGCATGGGCTTTAGTCGGCGTTTTTGTGTCATACGCCGACTTTAGCCCAAGCCCTAGCCGACTTTAGCCCGACTAAAATCTCGGGTAAGCCGCACTTTAGCCTGCTTGGGCCCGGAGTAAAATTGCTGGCTGGGAGGGGGGGGGGCGGTCATCCGCCCCCCCCCCCCCCGTCGCTCGGTGCGAAGTTGGCGCAGACCCCCGTCGGTGCGCGGGTTAAATTGCCTTTCATTTCAACTTCGTCTCTTTTCTGAAGGCGTTTGCATATAGGAGATATTGCCAAAGTTTAAAATCTTTGCATTTTGTCCATTTTGCCCCAAATCCTGGGCAAAGCGGGAACCGGTGATTTCTTTGCTCCTATATGAGAAACATATTTGCCTCTGTACACCTGGAATTGTTTACTGTTAACTTGCGCCCCACTGGGGTGCTTCATAGCCCCTCCCGTTTTTCTGCAATAACTTCCAAACTGCTTGACGTATCGACACTAAACTTCCAGTTCCTTCGGCTACATCAATTTGACACCTTGTGTCAAAATATGAATTTCGTAGCTACCATAGGTCGGCCGGAAATGTCGTCAGAGTGACGTCATGTTCGGCCGACTTCGATGCAAAACATTGAACCAACGGCAATCGCTCCCAAGAGCTCAGCTTTTAAGCTAGATCCAATTTCGTTGCATGAGAGGACTAAAAATAGACTGCATTATTAAACTTCTATCTCGGATTTTCAAATTTTGGAAACATTTGAAATTTATATATAATAAAATTCAAAATTTATATTTTTTATATTTTTTAAAACTCTTTTTTGATTTTTGGACAAAACCGGAACACATTTGATAGAACACATGGTTATGACTCACTCTAGCATGTTTTAGCTAAATATCTTCAAAAATGGCCAAGTCATACGCATTATTGCAAAAAAATCCCAATTATAAATTTTTTCAAACCAATTTTTCAGTACGTTTTTGTCATCGTACACCAATATAAATAGCACCATCGTATTGCTGAGCTCAAACTGCATCCGATAAACATGCTTTTTGATGAAAAATTTCAACTTTGAAATTTGACCTTTTTGACCTGAACGTGACCTGACCTTAGCTATATGCAGATGAAAATGGCCTCAAATGACACAGGTGACACCGAATTCGAAATATATGGCCTAAATGGACCATAAAACATGTGTCACGTGACCGACTTATGACATAAGATTTCCGTGACATATGATGACCTGACCCTGACCTGAAAATCAAAGTACAAGTTTGGTACCCTGAGCGTATCTAAAGCATTTTTTCACGAGTGTGTACATAAACCAAAACTCAGCCATATCTGACTGGTAAGACGACAGCTAGAGCCCAAAAAGTGAACAAGCCAAATATCGATAATTTTTACTTTGACCTGACCTGTGACGTCATCGGTGACCTCGACGTCAATAAAATTAGGTTTCGCTCGACAGTTTTTTCCTGAGCTATCAGATGCCGTTTGAATTTTGACGATCAGCCCAGTAGTTTCGGAGTTAGGAGGGGGGCTATGAATAGCCCCCCCCCCCCAGTGGGGCGTGTTATACACAGATTCCAGTGGGGCGCGGGTTAAAGAGGTTTAAAATAGGATGGATTCTTTTCCTTTTTTTTTTGCTTTCTTCCCGCCTGAAGGCTGAAGGTAAACAATGCAAGATTCACTGGCGGATCCAGGCTTGCGTTTTGGGGGGGGGGCAACTCATGCAGGAGCCAAACCTAGGGTACCCCCAAATCCTGTTTTCTCATCGGATTTAGGCCACTTATTTTTCGTCACAGCCCTGACACTATGAATTTTTTTTTTAACTAAAAAGAAAAATATATAAATGGTAGCCCACCCGACCCGTGCCTTTATATTACTTTGTAAACACTTACCATTGTTTTTATCGACCAGTTAAAGGGACCCTCCCAACTTAACATTAGATTTGAGCTGAGATAGCCAAAATGGGGTCCCTGGCTCACAATTACCGGTTTCGGCACGCACTCACAACATCGAGAAATGCCTTAAATCGGAAATATGGAATTTCAAAATTGCAGCATTTTGATTCAGAGGGGCTTATGCTTTTGGATACCCATCTGAATGTGTGACGTCAGCGGAGATCTAATGATTTTTTAATATTTTACTAAAACGTTTGGTAGCATGCGGTGGTATAGGCTGCTTTGCGCGCAACAAATGCCGCACTTTCAAATAAAGTCGCTAGGAACAGCAGCGGATATCCCAAAAAGTAAACAAAAATAAAAGTCTAATCTCTTGAAAACCGGTGAATATTTTTCGATAAAATTTGGTAGATATTCGTTTTCGCCCTTTCTGAACCTAGCGACATCACTTTCATGCCAATTCATTAACTTTTTTGTAGGTGGGAGGGTCTTTAGATTGCCGCTTCTGCTTGGGTCCCTTTGCGGGCCGGGAGGTGGTAAAACAGCCCTGTCTAACTCGGCTCCTGGGCCACGCCCTGATTGAACTATGTTTCATTATCGTTTGGGGGAGGGGGAAAACGGGCCACTTTAGGCCTCTGGGAAGGGGGCATGGCCCTAAATGCCCCCTCCCTGGATCCGCCAGTGTAAGAAGAGACCATTGGAGCTGCAGTTGGGTACCTCAGACATCAGGGTACGCCCTCAGATGTATGTATAGGACTCGCACGGAGACCTCTTATGCTATAGTGTACTGAAAGGACCCAAAGGAGCCTGTCTATATGGGCTCCCGGAGATAGACGTGGGCCCTCAGGAGCCCGCCAGAGCCCCAATGAGGGATAAGTGAGGGATACCAAGTGCCTGCAATTGCATATTGCATAAGCCATAACGCCTTTACAAATCAATATATTATGCATCAGTGGCAGATCCAAGGGGGGCCACATGGGTCATGACCCCCTTGGTGCCCGGGGGCACCACAGGCCTGTCAGGGGCACCACCGGCCTTGCAGGGGCACCTTGGGCCTGTCAGGGGCACCACAGTCCTGTCAGGGCCCAGGGGCACCAGCGGCCTAGCAGGGGCACCACAGGCCTGCCAGGGGCACCACCGGTCTAGCAGGGGCACCATGGGCCTGTCAGGGGCCCCACCGGCCTCGCAGGGGGCACCACCGGCCTCGCAGGCATCACGGCATCACGCAGGGGCACCTAGGGCCTGTCGGGGGCATCACGGGCCTGTTGGGGGCACTTTAGGCTTGTCAGGGGCACCACAGTCCTGTCAGGTCCCAGGGGCATCAGCAGCCTGGCAGGGGCACCCTAGGCCCGCCAGAGGTACAGCCCACCGCTAAAGTAATGTAGGGTTTTACCAAACTCAACGGTTGGCTTTGACTGGCGATTGTTTAATGCGAAGTGATTGAAAAGAAGATGTCAATAGCTAAAGTTGCAGCTGCAAGGGTGACGATACATATAAGCTACATTCAAAGTTTCATTGTAGTCTGGCTAATCGTTCCTAAGCTTCAGAAGCAGAACATACCCATGACTGAAACCCCACATTACTTCTGCTGTGGACTGTACCACAGGCCTGCCAGGGTCCAGGGGCACCACAGGCCTAGCAAGGGCACCACGGGCCTGTCAGGGGCACCTCAGGCTCCCGTGCCCCCCTCCCCTCCCCCCCAGATCCGCCAGTGATGCCAACCACGCGAAACACCGCCAACTACCAGCTGCCGCGCCATAAACACGTGCCAACAACAGTCTTTTTTTTTAAGGTCGACTCCGCTCGCGCAACTTTTGACTGACCCTCACTGCTACTATATTGCTTCCATATTATGCTGTGGAAAGCTTTACTTCACCAAGTGGCTAAAAACCTCCATCAAGGTATATTTTCCTAGCAATTTTTCTGGCGTTTTGGGGGGGGGCCAAACAGGCCACTTTAGGCCTTTGGGGGGGGGGGCATGGCCCCCGTGGCCCCCCCCCCTGGATCCGCCAGTGGCAAGATTAATATCAAATTGTATTTCATAGTAGATCATGTAACCAAAAAGTGACCGAGGTAAACGCATGACGACACATTATAATATCAATAACGTTTGCTGTCCAGGTGGAGACAACTTATTGCCAATTTTGAGTTTTCCACTTTGCCCCGTTCATGACTTACCCCCCACATACCGTCCGCGACAAAGGTAACCGAAGGTTTGTTGTCAATAGTTAAAACACTATTGGTTAGAATTGTTTTTTTTTTATTGAAAAACAAATCTGAGTTCCCTGACAATTTGGCAAGAGTTGCCTGAGATCGGTACCTATATACCTACATCTTGATAGGTACTAGAGAAAACGACAGCTTCAAAAATTTCGATTGTTTCAGGATTTCTAGTGGGCCAGGTGATCTAGGTTCCGGTATGGGTCTCTCCTCCGGGGACAATCTGGTGCACGACGCACGTGCCACGTGACCTTAAAATTTCCCATGTTAATGGCTCACTGCCTCACACACGATGATGGCGTAATCGTCATGTGATGTAGCATTTTGTTATAACTTATCATATTCTATTACACACAGGCATGTATTTTGTTCAACGTGGTTTATTTACATAATTTTTCTTTATTTTGCATATGATAGTGGTGTTATTGACATTGCAAACACACATTTCTTGTCCACAAGCAAACATCATTTATATACCATATAGTCCACGTGAATTGCGAGTCACTTCAGGCACATACGCGATGTCTCCGAAAGTAGCCAATAACTACATATAATACACATCTTATACATGAGCGCACATTGGCACACGAGAACAGCTCAGAGGCCAGTGAGCGCGGCAGTGACACGGGGCAGCGCAGGCGAGGCCTGTGCCGGGGTGCCGCGGTATCGGCGACCGGGTCACCCTACTGGCTCTCCGCTCGCCCCGCCCACTGTGCGGCGACCTCGGCCGGGCCGCCGCGCACGGTGGGCCAGTGCGCTCCTTTCCGCGCCACTGTGTTAACATTGGTCAGCGCGGGCGTCCGTCTCAGAGGGCCGCCGAGGGTTCCCATCTGTCCCGGCACTGAGCCGAGTCGTCCATTGCACAGCGCGAGTGTCGGTCGTCAGTCAGAGACCGGCCCTGCTACGTGAGGCGCAGCATGAGCGCTGGTTCCGCTGCTACACCTGAAATATGTAGAACACCACAAACTATTAGATACGGAGAGTGAAAAATTAGTTCACAAGTTTTGTTGAAGTAATTTGATGCCATTTCCAAGTGTCGAATGTTTTAGTGGTCAAACTTGTAACGCAAAATTGTATCATAATGTGCTATAGCATGAATGGTGGTCTTGTGCGAGAAACCTAATGAGCAACGTCTCTGCTGAGCCCAATGTTGCAAGTGTCGTACATGGGACTGATAGTGCTGGATTAACTTCAGGTACCTAAAACAATGACCAAATGCAGCTATTTTTCGCACTGAATTTCAGTCTATCGTATATTGACTTTTTTGGGAATCGTTTGGAAACCTTGGATACGCATTTGCCAGCACCGGCTATCTAGTACCTACATATAGCCAAATGCCGGAGATATGAGAGAGTGTGGCACATTGCACGACGGCCGGGCCGTGGGATCGGCCGCGGGCCGCGGGCCCCGCCAAACTGACCGTCTGCACGCGGCTCCTGCTACGGACCAGCATCACGGCGGCCACGACCACGAGCAGCGCGCCGACGGCTATCAGCGCCCACTGGGTGCCCGTCAGGATCTTCAGCGGCGTCATCAGCTCGCTGTCGAGCTCGTCGGCGTGGGCCTGGTCGATGGTGGCGGTCTGCAGCGTGCGGCGGGGGGGGCGGGGGTGAGGGGGCGCAGGGGGAGGTCGGGGAACGGGGCAGAGACTGAGGGGGAGGCACGCCGGCCCGGGAGGCATGGAGCGACATTGGGTAGTGGGAGGATGAAGGGCTGAGATAATTGTGCACAGAGGAGGGACGCCAGACGGCCAGGGCAGGCCGCCGCACAGCAGGGGACAGATACCAGGAAGTCGCAGAAAATGACCAGTTATCAACCAGCAGCAGCACATCGTTCGTGGACTTGAGAAGAAGCCCAAGCAAGTGGATCTTATGTCTAAGGCTCCTTTCAAAAGTTAAAGAAAGGCTAGTGCAAGAATATTTTTTTCCAAATGTAACATAAAGGTACGCCCATCCCAGCTGAAAAACAATAAATATCAAGACACAATATTCTAAGTAGTTTGAAGATCAACTAGAGAACAGTTTGGCGGCTACCTTAACCCTCGCCGGCACAGGCCATTTTGCGTCCTTCGACGGCACTACAAGGGGGGGTTGGTACGACCCCCCCTCGCGTTTGGCCCCTGATCGAGCTAGAGCTTCGCGGAAAAAACGAGCGTGTTGCCCGTCACGAGACGAAGCCGATGATACCCAATTTTAAGGTCCTAGGTCATCGGGTGACCTTCCAGGTCAGGTCAATGACCCGAAAACCGGGAAAATTGGGACCTGTTAGAAAGTCGTAAATTGTGGCTGCTATATGGTTTTCCGGGGTGCTGATCACGAATATCGTGTTAGTTTTGATCAGAGATGATGTCTTTAAGCATTTAGACCAGGTCGGGTCAGGTCAGGTCAGGTCAACCGGTAGGGGTTGTGACGGGTATTCGTAATACGTGTCAACCGCCTCTGACAGCTTCGTAACATGTTACGAAGGCACCAAAACTACTTTGTAAATGTTCAAATGGTTGCCAAATTCGAATTCAGCTCCAAAAACTAGCCTAGAAACATGTAAAACTCGAAAACGTGAACCGAGGTCACCCGAGGTCACCAAAGGTCAATGACCTGACCTGACCTTCAGGTGACCTTGACACCCACCCTAATGTATGGGAGCGACATCAAATCACATGTTTGAGCGTTTGAAACCACAAAAAGCTTGCAAACGCGCGGCTAATGTTAGCCGACATACGCCGAATCGCGATTCCGGCCAAACATGGTCTCGGAAAAGAGGTCACAGGTCAAAGGTCATTGGGGTCAGGGTCATGAAATTTTCAGGGTAGGTGTAAAATTGATCAATGCGAGAGTACTGAAAGTTTCGTCGCGATCGGCCGCTTTTTACGCGAGTTATTCGCGAAAAACCTTAGGGGGGGTTGCATCAACCCCCCCTGTGCCGGCGAGGGTTAACTTAGCCTTTAATTACCAACCTCGTTCGTGTAGATTAGGGGGAACAACATTTCAGGGATGTGTTCCAGTCCTTTGACTTTAACAAGCCCTTGGTAGCGTTTGGTTTGCAGGTTGATCTGGATCTTTTTTCCTCCATTCATCGCCAGACCGGTGTACTGTGGACGTCAGACCACGTGACAGAGTACAGCGGATGCTGCAAAGATACCTCACGAGATCACATGACTGGCCGCAGAACATGCTCCGATAAAACCAAGCTAATCATTTGTGACTTGCACCAGCCAGCTGCCAGCCAGCATGTATGGTGAGTGATATCGAGGACTTTAAATAGCAGCATTGCACAGCATTGTATTATACGGGGCCAGGCAGCCTTATTGTTGAACTCGCGCAAAGAGGTATCCGCCCTCGCCTCTATACATCGGTCTGGACACCTAGCGTCTCTTATGGTCTTACCGGTTCAATGTCAATGAACGTCTGGTGACGATTCTTATCGGGTGAAAGGCCGATCGACTGGTTGATGTACTCCTCAGCTCCCATATAGAAGTGAGGCGTGGAGGCCACGATGGGTGCGCCTGTGAAAATACAATCATGAATATAAATGGCAAGGGTTGCGGGAACTGATGCAAGCGTGTCTTGAAGGATCACCTTATACTACAGGCTCTAGTCTAGCCCATAAGCCCGGGGCAAGGCGGGTGAGCGTGTCACGTTTCGTCCTAGTTTCTTGGCACGGCCTGTGGTACCTACATCTTTTCCGCACCGGTTATTGGACCTTCAGTCACATGTATTATCCAAGGCCACCGATATATCGGTAGCCTGAATAACGCATAAAATAATACTGACTGTAGGCACTGATAGGGAGCACTGATTGGCAGGGATCACCGACTGTACTAGTCCTGACAGGGAGCACTGACTGTACTGGCAGGGAGCGCTGACTGTACTGGCAGGGAGCGCTGACTGTACTGGCAGGGAGCACTGACTGTACTGGCAGGGAGCACTGACTGTAATGGCAGGGAGCACTGACTGTATTGGCAGGGAGCACTGACTGTACTGGCAGGGAGCACTGACTGTACTGGCAGGGAGCGCTGACTGTACTGGCAGGGAGCACTGACTGTACTGGCAGGGAGCACTGACTGTACTGACAGGGAGCGCTGACTGTACTGGCAGGGAGCGCTGACTGTACTGGCAGGGAGCACTGACTGTACTGGCAGGGAGCGCTGACTGTACTGGCAGGGAGCACTGACTGTACTGGCAGGGAGCACTGACTGTACTGGCAGGGAGCACTGACTGTACTGGCAGGGAGCACTGACTGTAATGGCAGGGAGCACTGACTGTATTGGCAGGGAGCACTGACTGTACTGGCAGGGAGCACTGACTGTACTGGCAGGGAGCGCTGACTGTACTGGCAGGGAGCGCTGACTGTACTGGCAGGGAGCACTGACTGTACTGGCAGGGAGCACTGACTGTACTGGCAGGGAGCGCTGACTGTACTGGCAGGGAGCGCTGACTGTACTGGCAGGGAGCGCTGACTGTACTGGCAGGGAGCGCTGACTGTACTGGCAGGGAGCGCTGACTGTAATGGCAGGGAGCGCTGACTGTACTGGTAGGGAACGCTGGCCGCGCAGGCCGAGGGTACCGTGGCAGTTGACAAGTACAGGAAGGGGCAGGGAGCACTGACCGTAGGTCCTGGTAGTGAGCACTGACTGCATGTACTGGCAGTGAATATTGGAGCACTGACCGTACTGGCAGGGGCTGAGCGACATGACGCCCGCCTTCAGGCACTCTCCCACGCAGTAGCACTGGTTGTCCTCGTTGATGGCGGGGTCCTCCAGGACGTCCCTGGTGGGCGCGAACCGGCGGCCAGGGATGCCGAAATACTCCACGTCCTTCTCGTAGTCGAGGTAAATCGACCTGTGGAAGAGAACACAATTTAATGGGACCAGAAACTCCTCTTAAGTGCCGAAACCAACATGAGACCGGTTTTTTTTATTAAAGTTATTTTTTTGTTAAGTCACAGAAAAGGTAAACTAAGAATCAAGGCAATGAAGCATTAGAGCTAATAGAGATGAGCTCTCGCCAAGATGGGGCGAGTTTTTGGCCACACTCCAGATTTTTAAAGTTTTCTTTGCGTGCGTAAAGAAAACCGAGTCGCGCAGTGCCATGAAACTTGGAGCATTGACTGCCTTAGGTATACATCACTGCTTGCACTGACTGCTTAGCTATACATCAATTTTGCATCGTGTGTTAATTTTTCCCCGGTCACAAATGGTCATGCCACTAGGTCAACTTGCCTCTAAAAAAAGTCATGCCTCTGAAAATATCGTTTTCGACATTTTTTCAACTTATCTCTTAGAACTTAGACGGTCCCGTAGCTCAGTCGGTAGAGCGTTGGACTCCGCTTGGTGAGAGCACGCGTTCCCAGTTATACAACAGTCCGGGTTCGAAGCGCGACAGGCGCTTGACATTTTTGGGCCTCCTGACAGGTATGGTTGCGGTTGGTGGCAGGCCGTAGCCAGGTGAAGTCAGTGAGGGGACCGGCCGTGGGCGGCTATGTGCGCACGTTAAACTTTGGACTCTAAATTCTTCCATATATGAACTGGAATTGCGCGATCGGAGAGTAGAGGGCAGGGTCACCGCAACAAGCTTCGCTTAGCGGGGGCTCTGTCCTTGTCAATCCTTCCCATCAAAAAAAGGTTCGGACTAAATTCATAAAATAAAATAAAAACTTTGAAACTCGGTGCATTAGAAGGATTAGAGAATCAATTCAAATAATTTTCTATCTCGTATCATTCACACCTGTGACCTGGGGTCAGGTCAGATTTGTGCTCTCACTATCATAAGTCAAAGGGGGAATAGTACCTTCAAGTAAATACTTATTTGAACAAACGCGTCAGAACCTTAGGATATTTACTGAAACATGACCACTCCGCCCATATGCGATGGACAGATGCAGTGCAGCTGATGACCAGCGGTCATTCCAAAGGTTATGTTGGATCATAAAAGGTGGGTCATTGGTTGTTTTTTTTACACTAACTTTTAATGGAGCCATGGTCGTGCGATGAAATCGCCTGCACTTTGTTCAGGTCATCAATACGGATGATTGATATGCAATTGGGCCTTTGAGCAGGGATCATCGTTGGGGCGCTGCTCTTTGAGCAGCTGATCGGGGGTGGGGGGAGCTGCCCCGACGGGCAGCTGACCTGCAGAGGTCCTTGTTGAAGATGTAGACGCGGTCCACCTCGCCCGTGTTGGGCGGGTAGGTGATGCCGTCGGTGCCGTTCAGCATGTTGCAGTAGTCAGTGCTCCAGTAGCTGAGCTCGGAGGCGTTCTGGTACGACAGGATCCGAGTGAACTGGTTGATGTCGTCCTTGCCCGTCTTGATCGTGTACGGCCCGTCTACGGTGTTATTGTACTGCAGTGCGGTCCAGCGGCTAGCGTTAGAGGCAGCGTGTCTGCCTTAGCACAGGAGTCACCGTCCGCTGGTTGGATTAGGGCTGTTTATGAGAGGTAGTTTCAGAATGCAGAAGCAATGCATTCGCTACAAAAAAAAAAAACATTTACAGTGGAAACGTCTCAACACTTATATCTCAACTAATAATTCGGTATAGGTACATTCAAAGAGAAAGCCGATTTTACAATTCATAGACAACCAGTCATCCATATGACAAAACGTTTCTCCCACATCCGTATGATGACCTACCCCATAGAGCCGGAATTTTCCATCGCTGAAGGTGGGCGGCAGCAGAACAGAGAGCGGGCTGGCAGCCACCGCCGCCATCAGAGGGTCGTCGACACCGGACATGAGTAGCTCGCCAGCCTTGTACAGCTTGAAACTCTCTCCCTTCTCATACGTGTTAATCATTCCAAAGAGCACTGACTTTCCCAGGGGAAGCTCGTCTCCCATCGCAGCGAGCACCTGAGGGAGAGAAAAATGTCCATTCGCCATCGGTATGAATCTGTAACCTGCAGGGCCTCGTTTCATAAAGCGAGTCCATTTCATAAAGCGAGTCCGTAGCTTACGGCGGTTTTTTGTCTTGTATTGCAAGTGCATGTGAAGCGATAGATTTATTACACCTCCTCCCTTCTGCTCTTGCTTGCCAGATAAATAATTCAACGATTCAAACTATCGTCATCGCTTCACATGCACTTGCAATACAAGACCAAAAACCGCCGTAAGCTACGGACTCGCTTTATGAAACGAGACCCTGGGGTCAGGTTAATATCACGGTATGAATCGTCAGAAACGCACTCTTATCGGACACACGCGAGGCACACACATCTGTGACAGTTCGACGTGGGCACATTCCCTATCCGCTGCAGAGCCGTCCCCTGCCCCGACCAGACTGTCCTACTCAGACAGCAAGTTGTCCCTACTCAGAGCCGTCCCTGTTCGGACCAGATTGCCCTGTACTGACCCCTGAGGACTGTCCGCGTGTCCCACAGACCGGTGAGCCGGGTGCTGACCCCGTGTACTGACCCCTGAGGACTGCCCGAGTGTCCCACAGACCAGTGAGTCCCGCTGACTAACTGTACTGACCCCTGAGGACTGTCCGCGTGTCCCACGGACCGGTGAGCCGGGCCTGACCCCGTGTACTGACCACCATGGGCGCGTTGATGGTGGAGATGATGGTGTCCTCGCTGACGTCCGGCGAGGACGACGGCTGGTCGTAGAAGTAGGAGATCACCTCGTAGTAGGTGAGCTCTGTGCCGTCCTCCGACCACGTCAGGTTGATGCGCTGACGGTTCTCCCTGCGCAGACACACACCATCACACGGTCACACACCGTCATGTCTTGGCCGCACCATGAGTGAACATGAAACCCAAACAGCCGGCCGCAGTATAGTTTACGGACGAGAGCTGTATTTACTGCATTTCCAAAGGAATCGGTGAATGGAAACGTGATGGAGGAAACATTTCCAGAGATGCGATTAAACCGCTCTTTTTTTAGAATCAAGGTAAGAATAGATTGTCATAACACACACGAATACAAATACTTCAGTTAACCCTATTAGTGGCAGGCTCCTGGCTACCCCATATTAGTGGCAGGGGGGGGGGGGCTGTTTACGACCCCCCTTGATATCTCGAGATCTAACGGGCCGATTTTCAAAATTCAAACGGCATTCGATGTGGCTCAACGAGATCTACATTTCTAAAAAAAAAATTAAAAAATGTCAATAGGGGGGTAGAGGGGGGTAAAAACGGGCAAATTGCAGATACATTTTAGACTGTTTATCACGGCCAGGTTTCTGAACCAATCTTAACGCAACTTTTGCCGATCGATAGAGAATGAACCAGGAATTCACATGGATCCTAAAAATATGCATTTTCAAAAATCATAGGCGGATACAGATCATTGAGATTGGGGGTACACAAAAAGTATAGTAAATAAGGTTTTTGTTGGTACTGTTTCTAAAAAGGGTGGCAATGGTCTTGTTATGTTACAATTTTCTTATGAGAGAACGACTAAAATTGTATTGGTCATGCATAGGCGGTGTCAGGGCACCTATGTTGGGAGGTAAAAAATAACCCCCCTTTTTGGACGCCTGGATCCGCCTATTATAGCAAAAACGTGTCAAAAGAGGATGCACAATAACTTTGTATATGTTATCACATGATACCTTTCATTCACTGTTCGTAAAACTGGTGCAGCATCGTGATCTTCGCCCAAATGACTCGCTTCACGAATAGGACCCCCCGATTCCCAGTGCTCTGGAGCCGCCCCTGGTAAAGTTATGAACTTGAAATTTTCAGGGAATGTGTCCAATTTAGTTTTAGGAAAAGTCAGAAAATTTCAGCATCGTAGCTTCAGCGGTTTCGGAGATATTCCCGAAAAACCTGAGGGGTGGATAAAAACAACCCCCCCCCTGCCACTAATAGGGTTAAGCGATCAACTTAGCTCAAGTTTCACAAGCTATAAAAAGTATAGCAGCAGGCTACCGAATACCGGTGCGAATGAAAAGAAACAGTGGCACTTATATGGCACATCGAATATATCTTGTTCAAAAAGACCGCGGCAATGAAATCGAATGCCGCGGAGAGCTGAAATTTGAAGATTGACGGGGGGGGGGCGCAGCGTCTCGGACCACCTTTCTGGATCTGCCTGTGCTAAGTAAAAGCCAAAAGGCATTACCAAAATCTAAAAACATTGAAACGACACCGTATGCCCTGTTCTTTTCTCGGTCTTTTAGAACAAATTATATTGAATGAACAATATTTCATCTAATTTCATTTCGTATTAAGCTTAGAGCAAAAAAAACTACCTAGTCTTATATTAAAATGAAACATTCACTTGCCTACGGTACTTACTTGTATGAAAATGGACCGACTTCCTCCAAAATTGGCTTGTCTCCTCTTTTAACCTCTGCAGGATTTGTGACGTTGAACATAATGAACTGCATGAACACATCGATCTCTGACGTTGGAGCTCTCCAGGGATCAAAGCTCTCCGAGTCTTCGGTCAGCACCATTTCCTGCAAAAATTGAACAGCTTGTCAACAGTGTTCCTGGTCAGTTACTTACAACCCGCGCCGTGCTGGTGGTCGAGTATTCCGTAGGTAGGTACTTACATACAGTGCTGGAGGAAGGGGTGATTTCACGCCCTCCCCCCCCCCCTCCTCCGTCTAACTCGGCTCTTGGACCACGTAGTCACACGCAATAAGTGGTATCGAAAGAGCGTCAACAATAATGAATAAGGTATTCTGGTCAAAAGTCATCAAATATCAATTTTCTCCTATTTTTACAATTTTCGACAAATCGGGGCATAGCTCGGGAGCCAACCTACAGCTACAGCCGCCGCGAAAAAGCATACTCGATAGCTCTTTTAACGCTCCTTCTGGCATAAGTTCTCTTCTCAGGTTTGACCTCAAACCAACGGTTCCAGAAAACAAAAACTCTTAAAATAGCCGTTTTTACGAAACACGTTTTCTGCAATAATTTTTTACTCTAAAATGTCACGAAAATGCTTTTGCAAGTACCGTGTTCCTCTCGTCGAGACACCTCGAATGCTCAATAAGTTGACTTTGAAATGTCGTTTCGAAAATTTAGCCTCAGGTCAAGGTCGTGACCTGACCGAAAAGGGTTATGCAGGATATCAGTCAATCGCCATGTCGTCGAGCTGAGTTCATCTATAGCTGAATTCATCTAAGGTGTTGTCATCGCTCTAAAATGTCTCTATCAAAAGATATTGTAAAAAAAAACTGCAGCAGACCTTTCTTGACCTGAGATAACCTCAGGGGCATAACAAGGGGCCATGGGAGGTAATTTTCCGAGTCAATGTGTCATGGTTACCTTTTAGGTATACTCGTATGATGTTTTAGAGTGTTTAAGTTTGACGTTCGCTTAAAAGCGGCGCATCTTAATTTTCTCCCCTTGACTTATGATGGAGATGTCGGGAAAATTGACCATAGCCTTAGGTCACATATATATCAAAATTCAGAGTTTACCAGCTCATGTATATATGTTGCAGGCACTTTAGAAAATCAGTCATTTTGTAAAATGCCTAGGCATTTTGCAAAATGCCTGATTTTCCAGGCTTTTTGCAAAAAGCCTAGGCATTTTACAAAATGACTGACTCTCCAGTCATTTTGCAAAATGCCTAGGCATTTTACAAAATACCTAGCCATTTTACAAAATGACTGAGCAGCGTGTTGTAGATATGAGTACCTAATTATGTACGTTTTGGTAGCATGTATAGGTGGACCGAGGAGTCCAGCATTATGACCAGAGGAGTCCAGCAGTGGGAAGTCCATACATACCTCTCTCTATTTTGAGAAGTGCAGGCCCGCGACATTTCCAACCCCCACGTCAGCGACGCTGCTGGATTTAAAATGATCGATCTGGAGCGTCAACAAACGACTGGCCCTATGCCGGCCTGTATCTGTAAAACCATTAGAGGTCGCGAGGATTCGATCCCATACACTTAGGCGTTAGTGTCTTCTGAAACCAACGCTCTCGTCCTACGCCAAGCGACCTGATGATTCTCCCGATGTGGAGCTTGATATTTTTAACTGGGACTATGCAAGTAGGTAGGTACTCAAAGCTGTCAAACAAAGACACAATCAAACAAAGACTACACTCATTCGTTTACATGTAATTGTACATCAACCGGGCCTGCCTATTGACTAGGGCCGGTCTCCGGCTGGTTTTGTTAGGTCTAGTTTCATGCAGAACATGAACGGCGTTGATGTACTTGGGAGTTTTTACAGCGTTAACTAAACAATGCTTTATGCTACAGCCGAGTCTGCAACTCAACCTGGTCGTTTCTCAGCATTGTCGTCATCACAGAGCTTCAAATCGATCAGCTACAGGCTGAACACGTACATACCTATAGGGTATAGGAAGACGTCCAAAAACTGTTAATCATAGTATCTGTAGTGGGATCTACGTTCCATGCTGGTCAGGCATTTTGCAAAATGCCTAGTCATTTTGTAAAATGGCTAGCCATTTTGAAAAAAGCCTGGTTGCGTTCAGTCATTTTTCAAAAAGCCGTCTTTTTGTAAAATGCCTAGGCATTTTACAAAATGACTGATTTTCTAAAGTGCCTGCAACATATATACTGATACCGATATATCTGATACTGATATATCAATCGCTAAAAGTTGCAAAGCGATCGTTAAGTCGGTGCAGCTACGGCGAGCATTTAATTGCTTTTTTCTAAGGTAAGGTCACTTGGCGTGACCTGGTGACCTGACCTTGGGCGACCCAGGTCTGAAATTTTAACAGCATGTGCAGAATAGAGCATGATAAGGTGTTCGCTGCCGCTTTTTTTTTAGATATTTGCGAAAAATCTGCTGGGCCGGCTAAAACACCCCCTCCCCCCCCCCCCAGCGCGGCGCGGGTCACGAAACCTGCCGCAGTGGATGAGCTCAATCGTATTCATACCGTGGAGAACGGTTAAACGAGTTACAGAAACATTGGAGACGGGTAACAAGAATGATCTGATAAGAGTTGCCGAAAAATAAATAGGAGCAATTGGGTAAGCTGGGATGTAACAGATATAGTTTGGTGATTTCGATTTCCTAACCCAAAGCACTAAATAACACAACGCAAGCTATGCTAAATGCTTATTGCTTATAAATAAATGGCATGCGTCATCAATCATCAGCCATTAGGCGATGTACGGTCATAAACATTGAACATGAACGCGAGACACGATTTTTAGGCACGTGAGTGCTGTATTTCAGTTTTTGAGGCACTTCAATTGAGGCACTTGAGTGCTGAAAGCGCCGCCATCCGCCGAGTGGTGCCTTCAGATTGCGGTATAGATAGCCAGACGTACTTTCTGTGCGGCCGCCAGTGCTGGTCGGCATGACTCGGAACACCTTTCACACGCGCCGCAGATCGGAAGATAGGGCCGCTACGATGACTGCCTGACTGAGTGAGCTGTCCAAAAGCAGAGCTGGGAAAACACCCAGCTGAACACGAGCGAGCGCGAAGCGTGAAGTGAATCTTCCTAATATTTCACGGAAATGGCGCTGGGTCACTGGGCGACTCCGCTCACTTTCCGTTATATTTATTATTTATTTATTTAGGCTCGTTACAACATCCACGTAGTGGCTTTTACGTTGTAGTGTCAGTATACATGAAAATCATCTCACATCTCGGGCATAGATAAAAAGACAAAAAGAAAAGTAAAATACAAGAACACGATAAGAATATTAAAATACCACGATAACAGCATCTATAAAATGTTGAGGTAAGCTAAATCACCATCCAATAGGTACATGAAATATATGTAAAAGATGACAGTAAATGGAGCGGTACTAAACGACCTAAAAGGCGAACGAACAATGACACCTAAGATATAAACATTGCACAAACTATCACACTAACGCATTCTCTCTGATATTCTTCTTGCACTGCCTAACGGTCGGCGCCTCCCGGACAGCTGGTGGCGCTCCATTCCAGCTAGCCACGGCGCGGTAGGTAAAGAAGCGCCGGGCACGTTCAGTGCGCACCTTGGGTAGCTGGAGCTGCCCAGCTTCAACGGCCCGGGTGCTGCGTGCTGATATGTCTGCGCGGGACTCGACAAGAGTTTTTAGATTTGCGGAATAAGTTCCGTCTTTTAGAATCTTATGAATCGTGAGAATATCCTTTTCCACAATAAGTTTGTCTAAATTCTGCCAATTAAGCTCAGCGAACAACGGTGTGACGTGCACGTTGCGCCGTGATGAGGTAGTGATTTGGGCAGTAGTGATTTGGGCGTTAGACCTTCCACGACTTCGTTAGACCTCACATGGCCCAGTCTAGCGTGAAGGGATATTTACCTGCATAGTATTCCCCAGTGCACATACATACAACCAGTTAAAATGATTGTTGCTTAAAAAATGGTTTTGCTGTTGGAAGCATAATTCATTCTTCCCGAATTTTACTAGCCGATGCATCTGGGTGACCATCATGGCACGAATTCCATGGCCAGTGTATGACACATGCTTGCATACATATTGCATGTAACATATCATTGCATCCCTATAGAGGTAGCGTATTTGCGCATGCATGCCCTCTCTTCTCACCTACTCGGCAAAAAGGAAACTGACAAACAAACAAATAACAAGAAAAGCAAAAAAAGACGGACGAAAGCCATCCAAACGTTACGCAGCTATGTAGATCAAGTACATGAGTTACTAGCCAAGTAACGTGCATATCACCGTGTCCGAGAATCACCTATATAGGAATATTTACTCAAAAAATTGCGTGATATATCTCAGTTCCGTTAGTGCCCGCCGACAGCCGTGTATTTGTATGGTCGACGACGGCCCGAGACACTGCACCTCGTGATGGCCTGGCCAGAAACCTGAACGGCTCTGTCAGGATCAGGCTCGTGGTGAGCTGCGTGATTTCAGACGCTGTCTTATCCCAGAATCTCAATAATGTTTGGGCTTGTGAGTGACCTTATTTTACATTTCGGTACGCTACAAGCCCATGAAGAACAAGGCACCGCGGTGGGTACCGTATAATTGGTGCCATTCACAACAGGCTTTACAGCCAACTGCACGCATTGTGGCGTGGAATGGGTGGTTGCGGTGTCGGAGGAAATCATGTCAGAACCTGAGGTCTGACACAAGTAGACGTAATTTTGATTGCACATATTTTTTACAGAACAAACTAAACGTATGGACGGTTGCTTTCCTACATAGCAAAGGCACTAATGCTGTCAAACAACGCGATTGTGACTGGGAAGAAGAAATGTTATTCCCTATTTCAGGGCCCAGAAATAGAATCGTTGTGCAAAGAACATGCTTCATATTGATACGCTATCTTTAGTACCATCTGCACATTTTGCTCATCATGGGTCTAAAACACAATAATTACGTACGTCCCCACACACTTATCCTATTCTTGGAAATCTCACGTCCGAACGATACATCTTTTTGACGTAGTTATTTCTGCAGCATAACTTGCACAATTAACCAGAAAAGGATTGCCTTACATCTAGCATAGGTTAGCTTTGTGCTGAAATCGAGTTGAATCT